AAATAAATTCTAACGGTTCTGTTTTTCAGCTGCTAAATTTAAAAGATTAACATTTTGAAATAGTCATTTTGCAGAGTCGCTATGATTAGAGTGTTGATGTCTGTTTTATGTTTATGGCTTTGCAACATCAAACTAAAAACCAAACAATTTTTAGGAAAAATATTACATTTGACTAGTAAAAAAAGATATCGAAATTTCATATCATGGCCTTCATAATCCTTACATATTGTGTTCACTGGTAGTCATCAGTATACAGTCTGTTCATTTCCATTAATTATGATGAATAGAAAGGAAACAACAGCAGCTTAGAGAGGATCATCTGATACAATGATTTCAAGTGTTTCCACAAAGTGTAGGCTGTCGCTTAGTTGTCTTTATTCCTCTTTGCATAGGAGGAATTAAATGTCATTTTTTAATTGGATACATAGGTCAGTCCAGGTCTGTAGAAAGTAACATATTATCCATGCTGCTTTAGCTCTTGCACAAATTATCTAGAGTCAGTGATGATAGCAGGGTGTCATGTCAACTGATGGTGTCGGTCCAATGTGTTTATCAAGCTTATCAGCCATGAACCAGGAAACTTAAGGTCATTTTCCTCTGTTGATAAGCTTTGTGGTGATGCTTGTTAACGGCACCAAAACCTGCTTTATTGACCATGGTGTGTATCTCTACTAAATTGACCAGAGAAATGGTCAGACAGAAAAATCCCCATAGAGACTGTATGTAGTATTTTTAAGAAGAAGATTGGGACAATAAAGCTAATAATAAGAAATTAAAGCAACCTGGGCTTCAGAGGAACAACAGGCTGATCCTGCCACGCTTCACTGCATTGATGAAGTAATCCGTTACAAATTATTCAGTGGCCTAAATACGTTTTTCATTGGTTTCTACGTCATATGCAGTCATTCTTAATATAGTATTCTGATTACCTGTAAGTTATAAGGATCAGAAATAACAGGAATAAAAAGCTTAAATCAAATACCTCTGTGTGTAATTAATCTCTATGGGTTTCATCGTTAAATACATCACTGAAATCAATGAATCTTTCAATAAATTTTTAAATCTTTAAAGCTTAATTTAGCCTTTCTTGCATCTCAATAATCAATTTTAAACTGAGCAACAGAGAATCCGATTATAGTGATTATGTAATAAAGAGCCAAAGGGAACTTAAATGCATGCTTAATAATGCTGGATAATTTAGACTTTAAATTTTTTTAAATGAATCTGTTTCTACTTAGAATAAAATCAAATTAAAATAAAATTCCCTGATTTTACTGTGTGAGCAACAGGTTTTACATAAACCATCATTCTAAGCATTTCAAAGTATCAACATTTTATTAATTGTGCAGTGAGGCTTAGTTTATTTTTATTAATTTTAGGTTGGAGCTTTGCATACTTGTGTTTGGTGCCCCAAAGTTTAAGCTTGTGCTGGTTTATTCTCAGTGCATCATCATCCTCTATAGTCTGGTCCTAAACCTGCCCTTATGTTTTCACCTCTCTGCAGATCTCTTCCAGAAAACAGTTTGATCCACATTTTCCTTCCCAGGCATTTATTTTTCTCTCTTTCCTCTCAGCTGTGAGGCCCATGGCAGGCAGTTTTCTTTTGCCATCCCCGTCAGCCCAAAGCAGATGTGACATCACCACAGTTCGGCGCCACTCTGCAACCCCCCACCCCACCCCCCTGATTCTCCAGCATCTTTTTCTCCCACGCATTCTTTCTTTCTCTCTGCACAGACAGCCATTTTGATCTAGCAAACACAATCTGTGGGTTATGAGAGAAGGCCATGGAGGGAATAAGAAAAAGTGTGACTAGTAGAGGAATTGATAACAAAACAGAAGCCTTTTTGTGCATCAAAGATAAGACAGGCTGTTGCGGTTGTTGTACAGCAGAAATCTAAAATCTCTTGCTGTTTTGCTGCCACTTTGCTTTAAGTCACTTTTCTCCAGTTGGGAACATTATGACTTTCTGCATGAGGTAATGCTGCTGTTCCTACAGAAAGGCAAAAAAGGGATGCAAGAGTCGCACGTGCTTGAGTTCTGCTGTTGTGAGGTGGGGGGGCAATCTATTTTTACCATTTAGCCAGAACAAAGGATGTGATTGGCTCCTGTGTGGTAGGACAAATCTCCTTCATGCATGGAGCAAAGCCTGAAAGTGACTGATTCTCAGCTAAATCCCAACAACATCCGAATGTCACAGGGCTGCAGGAGAACAAGACAGACAGGAGCAGCCTGTTATTCATTAGGACGCATGCAAAACTCTCTGCTGCATTATACAATATTCTCATTAACTTAATATGACTATACAAAAAATTTCCTTTTAGAAGCATATTCAAGGATCTTCCATCTATTACCCGATGAAGATATAAAGAATGCAAACACCACGATTTGCAGCTCATGCACAAGAAGGAAGAGGGAAACTGAAGCATGTGATCTTATCTATGAGATCCACCGGCCTAAACTTGTCCTAGCAAGCTGCTTACAGACGTGCATGTGTGTAACTGCAGTCACATGCTTATTTGCATGGAAGTAAACGGAGGCTTACAAGTCTTTGAATGATGGCAGATCTTTCTGCTGGACTTTGTTCTTTTATGTACATCCATCAAAAACATATGGATGTGATTAAAAGTTCTTGCTCCACAGCTAAGCCTTGCAGAGGAAGAAAGCTGGGATCCTAGGAAAACTACAGGAGGCAGCGAGGAAGATGGACGGGATGCAGGGAAAAGAACATGACAAGAAGATCAAGGAAAGACCTGAAATTTTGTCAGATGGCCTATAGTTAATAAATAATAGCAGCTTCATTTAAATGCTTCTGATGCTCTAATTTAATTAGCCTCCTCCAATATTCCCTGGAGCAGATGCCACAATTTAATTTCTGTCTATACCTCATTCCCTCGTGCCACACACGCTCCCATTTTTTTTATCTACAAACAAAGCAGTTATCACTCTCAATAGCAGACAAAGTAAGACAGAACAAAAGTGATCTGCAATTTGCTTAGTCAAACAAACCCACAACCTTAGCCTGTTAAATAGAGGCATGTGCATTTGGACACATGTTGTTGAGAGATTCCTTCTCCATGTGATGGCAAGCCAAGCAAGATTGATGTCAATTAGCTCAACTTTAATCCAGGAAGATAAATTTAATTACTGTATAAAAAATTAACCATAAAAGAAAGTAAATTGCAAAGGCACACTTAAAATAAGTCGTTTAGCTTCAAGCAAGTTCAGCTCTTTTTTATCTAAAGCACACTCATTAATTGTTAAGACTCAACAAGGGAGAGTGGCTTTAATGTGTTTTACAACCTATGAGTTCCCTCAGTCCCATTAAGGTTGAACTAAGCATCAGTTAGTTATCGATATCATCAAGCTTGATCAAGTCTTTTTTAAAGAATCAGATCATAAACGGATTCTTTAAAAAAAAATTACTTTATGTCATGCTATCATAAACAAGAAAGCATGGCAAACTATGCATTAGGGTTAAGGTCATTTTAATTAGATGGCTGGGGAGGTAAAAATTGTCTTTAGCAGTATGCAGCATTCCTTTCAAACTCTTTTCTATCATTATTGAAGGACATTAAAGGTCAGCCTTGGTTTGCTCCTAATAGCCACAATAATCAACATTCAATCAGACATAAATATACATCCCACTGTAGATGGGTTTCAACAATTCACTTTTAAAACATTATTTGTTTTGTTTTGGGGTTTTTTAGACTCTTCTTCACCAACTCAACCAAATCTTGTATTCAAGTGGGAAATTGCAACTGGAAAAGTACATTACACTCCACTTTAGAAGAATATAACCATTAGCTGATTACATCCATCCATCCATCCATCCATTGTCTTACACGCTTGTCCCGCGTGGGGTCGCGAGGGGTGCTGGTGCCTATCTCCAGCTGTCAATGGGCGAGAGGCGGGGTACACCCTGGACAGGTCTAGCTGATTACAATGTATCTTTATTTATCATTTGCATTCAAACAGCTTAATATGAGTTGAATCTTGCTGAGCAGCCTGAAAGCATCTCTATTTTTTTCCTTTGCATTGAGAGAGCAAATCAGTATTTAAAGACATAACTATATAACAGAAAAATCTTCACTGCACGCGATTAAAGGATCAAGAGTCTTCTGACTTTCTCAGTAAGAGTTTTACATTAGTGTCGTTTGTTTTTGTATAACGAATTGGAAATCTGAATTCCCACACCAGTGGAGTAACCCAATAGTTTCCCTTCTCCACCTGTTGCTGTACATTGTTGGCCATCAAGCTGAAGTTATTTCATTGCACTTTACCCTAGCATTCAAGATGAACACGTTTGAAGCTAAAGTTGCATCACCCAGCAACCACATGTGAAACTCCTGCAAATGGCATGTACGTAAAGCAGCAGACTGCAGGCTAGTTGTCTGAACACACAGGGGGACTGATTAACCGCCTATATCAACATTTGTACAAAAGGAGCAGCAAAGGGCTAAGAAACTGTAAAGAAACATTTTTAATTAAAAGATCCTAACTTCATCAGGTTTTCATATTTTTGACCCAGCACAAAAATCAAACTAGCAGTAAAACCTAATATTATTGATGATGATCATAGTTCCTTAGCAGTTGCTATTCAGCAACCTGTAGCACATTTCCAAATAACCAGGAAACAGACCTGTTCTGAGAAGATAAAGTGTCAAAAAGGAGTAAAAACTGCCAGCAAATGAAGTACCTATCGATATTTCAGTTTCTCTGTCTGTGGTGAAAAACTCTTAGCTATTGATCTGCTGCACAGCAAGCCAGCAGATCTGGAAGGTTGCTGCTGAACAAGTCAATCCCACAATGTGGCAGCTTCGGTCTTTAGTCTTGTGTTAAAATGTGTGGCATTGGTGTTACTAACACACACAAACACCCAGAAGTCATACAGCTTGCTGTTGGCCCCAGGGGGCTTTGCAGCACTTTTTACATAAGTTTTTTTTTTTTTTCTGACAGCACTGAGAGCAGAGACAGAGGAGGAGGAAAGAGTGAGCACTCACCAGGACAAGCACAGCCTCCAACAGACATCTTCTTACATGTTGGGCTCCTCTCTGGATAAAACAGCTGCACTCAGTCCTCACACCGCTCGCATGGGCCAACTCTGAGGAAAACAGCAAATACAGAGAGGGGAGGAGAGATAAGAGGGAGTGGTAAAACAAAAAAAGGAGGCCATGTACAACACAACCACACTCCTCTCTCTCTGTCAGAGCCAGGAAGTTGGCAGTGGTGCTCAAGCTGCATCATTAATAGACATATTGCAACATGAGTGGGAGGGAAAACGAGAGAGCAGTGAAATAGGAAGAAAGGCGGTGTGTGAGACTCGAGCAGGGAATGTGAAGCAGTGAGGGTGAATGCATGTCTGAAATGGAGAATGCAGGAGGGAGGCAATTAGGGCAAAAGAGAGGAAAAAATGGGGGAAAACACGTAAGACTTGAGAGCATGTGTGGCAGTGATGCATCATCTATTTTTGCCCTGTGCTGCTGTGGGAGATAAACATACTCAGTAGGAGCCCAGAGGCAGAGGGTAATTACTGCCAAACAAACACATGCACGCTAACACACTCTCACACACACTATGCCTAATGTATGACAGAGTTCATCACTCTCTCTGACTCCTGCTTTATCTTTTTTTTTTCTGCTGCAGAGAGAACAGTGGTGTTAATCACTACAGACAGGATCGATTAAAAATGCAAAGGCCTCCTGGAGCGCAGGGACACTAGAGACCCATGGGAGGCATGGAGGACATGTGCATGCACTGTTCACACATGCAGGTATGCATGCAGTCTGGCTTGGCTTTAGATGTGAGCTGTTATTTTATGTTTCTTTTATGTTTCTTCTATCATTATTATTATTTTTTTTTTACATCTTTATGTCTCTCTCCATGTTGCCGTTCAACCTCTGCAGACTCTTATTTCCTTCAGCAGCTCTTAGGTTTCACCTCCGTTTATGTCTTAAGCTCTGTTAACAAAGCAAATATTTTCATAACGCCACAGGTTAGTGCACAGACAAAAGCACGCAGTTTCTCCCCAGAAGCTTAATGTCCTTGTTGTGATCTTGTCAGATGAACATAGACAGTTTTAAAGTCTGTCACAGTATAAGCCGTTTTTCCCAATTTCTCCCAGTAGAACCACAAACATCCGTTTGTTTATGCCTTTTATCTACTCAAAGAAAAGCAAAACATCTGAAAAGTAACTGTGAAGTGCAAAATCTGACAAGCGTGACATGCAGTTGAGAGTGCAAGAATCCAGAGTCATTTTGTAAATCCAATCCTTCAAGGAAGAAATTCTTCTGGGGTTATTTTTTTCAGTTTAATCATATGTTCTGTACTTTTGTGTTGTTGGATTTATTTCTCTCACCATAGTATCCATTCTTAGTTAAGTGTTTTTTCCCCTTTATTGGAAGGCTTTGATTAATGTCACGGTTCATCCTCCACTTTAACTAGTGTCCTCTATAAGCTACACTGCCTTGATTCTGCCTCAGCTGCTCCACATTTAATCTGATTTACCTCTTCAGGTTTTTTGTCTTTCTCGGTAGCTCACCTGTTCTCATCGTTCATTCCTGGATTGTTTCGTTTGACTGTGCTACTCTCTCTTGTTCAGTTCCCTACCTGGATAACCCATGCTAGTCTCTTTTCTAGTTGTCTTGGTGATAACCTGGTTGTTCTTTTTTTTTCTTTGTGAGAGGTGTGTCACCGTACCCATCTGCCTTTTTATCCTCCCTGAATTCCCACTAAAAACCATTCAAAGAAAACTACTGATTAAGATTTTGGGCCACTTTTAACATAACAAATACATCTGATTTATCTTAAATAGAAGTAGGATGTGGAGCCCAAAATGTAACAGTTTGAAGGGCCTTGACTTTCTAAAGCCTTTCATTGTAACTGTGGCTGTTTGTGTAGGATCATAATGGAAACAGGGGTGGAGCTAAGAGGTAGCCAGGTAGGGTCCTGGCCACCCTTAGTAAAACCTTGCTGCTCCCCTGTGGCCAACCATCACTTGGTTTTCCCTTTTAAACTAATTACAGAACAAGCAGTTCCCCTCTAAGCCAGAGGGTGGCAGCAGTGATACCCTCAAGATGGTTTCCTAACTAATGACATTTTATTGTTAGTATATTAAGGATAAACTGATAACAAAAATGCAGCAATTAATTATTCACATGAAGATGACAATCAGCACATATTTCCTGCTCTTTTCTTGATTTTGTTTTTTTAGGAAAGGTTTTATGTCTCTGCATTTATCTAAAAATTTTCTGCATAATTTAAGAAAAAAAAAACACTGCTCAGCTTAATTAGTGTATATAGTTTGCTGAAATATTCATGATTAATTTAGATAGAATAGATGTTTTGATATAGATATACATACAAATATTTTGCTTGTTTATTGTCTTAGTAGTCAAATGTAACTAGTGCAGATTGACCATAAACTGGCTTACTGGCCACCTTCCATTGCACTGTGCAATCCTATAAAGATTTTGTGGCTCCGTCACTGAATGAAAGGTTAATCTCTGTCCTAATCTTTTTCTGCAAGGATTTTTTTTTTCACCATGATGCCCTTAATTTAGGTCCATTATCAACAGTATCTTTGAACAACTTTCTTGCTCCTTCTAATGTAAAGTTTTTTCACAGCATGATGCTGCAAACACCACGATACCACGGCCATGGGCTGCTTTGAGTTTTTCTACAGTTTCTTAGACATATAACCAAATTATGAATACATATTTTTGCTTCACATCTCAGACTTTTGGTTTCAAAATGTGTGTATTGCCATTATCATCTCTCCTTGTGTAAAAAAAAAAGTGCACCCTCTTGATGTAGTGCAAGAGAACTAATGAGTCTAAGCAACTTTCTCAAATTGGAGAGTCAATGAGTTGATAGTATTCTTTATTCCTCCAGCCCTTTTTGAGCAGTTTTTTTTTTATTATTATTATTATTTTCACCTAAGAAAGCCTTTGGTGATACAATAAAGCTTAATTTTATAGTTAAACCTGTTGGAGCTATGGCCATAGTCAGCTGCTTTTCATTTTTTAACATTTGAATAACAAGAACTGAGAGAAACCAGTGCAAGAGATCTTAGAGCTTTGAACAAACACAAAAGAGCTTTTATGTTAGCTAGTAGTGAAAAACACCACATAGCTAGCTAAATGTCTCATCACTGCTTCTGATCCCCTGTGATTCACACAGTGCTGTATTTAGTTGCGCAAGACACTACAGACAACAGTCACACAATGGGGTGTGAGTTGCCCTGCTGGACAGTGTGTGCAATAACAACTCCTCCTTCTATGATTCAGTCATGCTTCCATTAAGGAACAAGCTCCTTTAACAATTCATTCAATGTTTCCACAACTATAAGATTTTATAGTTGTGTTGTAAAATATGTCAAACAAAACAGCTAAAGTGAAAGGAAACTTAGGTGGAAATGGCTCAAAGTAAAAACTTTCACCTTGTAGAAATGAAAATATTAAGGATTTTTAGCTGTAATTTTAAAAAGTTTACGTACTCTAAAAAAGGCTCTTTTGTAATTTCTTTGACCTGTTTAATAACGGAAGTAAATAACGTTAAATGCATGAATGTGGAAGAAATAAGTCTCTTCAGAAAATGATTCACACCTCTTAAACTTTTTCACTTTTTGCTATTTTCTCTTCTTAATTCCTTCATATTTTTGATGGGATTGTAACTGTTAATGCACAAAAACAACTTAATTTTAGTTTTGCTATTAATTTTCAGTTGGTCTTGTTTTGGGATTTGACTAGGCCATTCTGACACCTGAACACACAAGGTTTACAATATTTCTTTTGTAGTCCAGGCTGTATGGTGGCAGGAAGTTGAACCTCTACCACAGTCTTCAGTATTTTGGTATTGATCATTTGGTTTCCTCCTAGATGCTTCCTGCTTAGAGATCAGCTTCCATGCACCCCTTCTGGAAAAGCATTCCCACGACATGATGCTGCCACCATCCTGTTTCACCTTGAGAATGTCTGTTCTTGGTTTCCCAGGTTTCCTACATGACTCGATCAAGCTTTAGTGTTGGGTGCTTTTTCTGAGTAACATAACAAAAAAGCTCAATCTAAAGGTCAATCTATTTATCATTTAGTCTTCCATAAAGTCTAGACGTGTGGAGCAAACGATACACAGGTGCTCCCATCTATGCTGTGGATCTGCCCAGCTCCTCCAAAGTAACCATGGGCATTTTGGGTGCTTCTCTGGGATGTGCTTTCCCTATCTGGAATGTGAGCTTGTTGGACCTCCTTGTTGCGGTAGATCTGGATGTGTAACCTATATTAATAAAATACAATCTGGACCAACAAAGATCTCATCTACTTTACTCAACTACTACTAGCTATAATATCTCAGAGTATAAATCTACACCCACCACCACCACCACCTGCTGGGACTCAGTTAAACAGACCTTAGATCCTTGTTTTCTGTCACTCACCTCTAATCCACTTACAGCAGACAAATAAATGGGTCTCTGTTAAAATCAAAGCTGACAGGCACATTCCCCACACACTGCCGCACTGACAGAGGCATCACAGTGAAATGTCAAACCCGATGTCAGACACCGCTGTCAGGACCGAGATACAATGAACAACCCTGCGGGTCCCCCCCCCTTTTTTTTCCTCCTCTGTTTTTATTTCCCCCTCACAGACAGATATCTTGCTGTCCCTTTGGTCTCACTCTGTCAGTGTGCACGCTCATCTCTCTCAGATGTTTTGTTTTCTTGTGCTGCTGCTTGTAAAGGCGCCCCGTTTGCAGTTTAACATCAGTAGATCCTGTTTAAGCTCTGCAATGAGGACTAAACTGATCTGTTAGACACACTCTGTCTAACCTCTATTCAAGGTGCAGAGAAATGCCACTCGGTCAACATGTCCACACATGGCCCAGAAAGCTCTCACAGGAAATAATCAAGCCCCCCGTTTGCACTGACTCCCTCCCTCTGCTGTGGAAGAGCATAATAACAGCAGCTCAATAACAAAATGTGACACACAGCAAAGTGCTGGCACACATGCTGACTGGCTGAGGAACACGTCTGCTTTCAGCATGTTGTCTTACAGCAAACACTTCTTATAATGTTCTGAATAAATCTCACCGAAATCACTGAATTTGTTTGATATAGGTGCCACAGATGGTTTCCCCCCTTTGTTTTGTTTTACATGCCCTACACCTCCATGCTCTCTTTCTTTCCAACCTCTCATGCCGTGTCCTTCAGACACTTTATACTTGAAAACCCTTACCTTTTTTTCCTCTTCTCCCTCACTTGCTGCATAAAAGTCCTCACAGGTCAGCAGTGCAGAGCAAATCCAGCAGGTCCAGTAGAGAGAGGAAGAGTGCTGTGATAAGCAGGTGCAGATAGGAAACACAAATGGAGAGGAGGTGGTGGNGGGGGGGGGTCAGCTGCACTGGTATGAATATGACGCAGAGGCAGCAGCCAGATCCACTTCTCCTCTCATCTATTTGTACCAAACAAGGGAGACGAACGTGAGATGGGAGGGGAGGCTCGTTACCATGACAACGGCAGAGCACCGTTTGGTAGGTAACATTTTAGGAGGGAGCTGGGGTACATCAGCGCTCCTCTCTCCATTTCTGTCTCACTCACAGAGCGACAAACACAGCAGACGAACAAGTTAATGTGCAGAAAACAAGCATGAGGAAAACATGGCTTCATCAGGAAGCGTCGGATGATCTGAGGTCGGCTTGCTGTGACTGCAGAAAGTTGGAGAGAGATGCTGGAAGCAGGCACAAATGTGCTCTACTGGAGATTACAAAAACAGCAACGGAAGCAACAGCTGGCAGCAAAGACTTCAGCCAGTATGAGATTCTCACAACATGAAAAAATATTACTGTGCTAACCGATTTATACAAACAGTTAACCTGTAAATGTTTAATAGGCTATTATTGCAATTAGAAAATCAACAAATAGAAGACATTAATTATTACTGCTTAAGTTCCTTAATTACAAAAATGAAAGAATAAATATGGATGTTTAATTACATTGTATGAAAAATTATGTCTCCCCATTTTATGTCAAAATATTTGTTGTTTTAAATCAGTAAGGATTAATAAGGTTTACTGAATGTCACAAATGTCAGTGTCTCTGTAACAATATGAAAATCATAGTGTGATGTCATCATGACACTGGAGAACCTGTTGATGTAGTTTAAAGCAACCCCTTGAACACACTGCTTCTTTTTAAGACACCATGGGAAAATAAACAGAATCGGGTAGATATCAATCATATACCTTTGAGGGGATTATGGACTTTAAAAAGTCTGCCTAAATCTTGGGAACATTTCCAGATTCCCAATGGTTCCAAGTTAATCAGCTCAAACAATTATATGCAAATATCTATCTACACCATCCAACCACCAAGCCAGATTTCCAGTTTGCAAATACACTGAGGGATAAAGCTCTTCATTTTGAGAGATATCATTTGGTCTGATTAAACCAAAATTAAAGGGTTTGGTTATTATGGCCAGTGCTACAAACAAAAGCTTTTTAAGCCTGCTTTATGGTCTGTGGGTGACTTGCTGCCCTAGTGACTGATGCTCTAATAATATTCTGCAAAATTTACAACCCTGAGCATGAAAATGAAATCAAAGTGTTGTTTGGAATCGTACATCAAAATTCATGTGATGGATGGTCATTACAAAGCCTTCAGTGAATTTGTGGTAAAAGTCAGTTCTGCCAGGAATGGACCAAAAATCCAACAAACTCTAATAAGAGGTGTCTTAAACCCTGGATAAGAATTTTTGACATATAGTTATAAAAAGATTAGCTTATTTATTGAAAAATGTGAGCTTTCTTTTTTATTTTAACGAAAGTTAAACTTAAATGTAATACTTGCAATAAAAGAAATCTGCAATGAATACATTTCAAACAACTTTATCCTAAATCTTTTTGCTGCTCTCAGGTCGATATAGCAAACACTCAAGGAAAAATAATACAGTATATAAATAATAATCAAATTCAACCAAATTCAACCAATTCAATCAGCTGAATGAGTTTGAGTATCGGTTGGTTTTTTGTTTGGGAACCACATAACATCGCCGTGAAGGCATTAGCATGAACTCTGAGAACATGGATAGTCTGGTTTAGGATGGATTTAGTTTACTGAACAACTCCTTTTCTCTCAAGTCTGCAGTCTATTAGAGAAATGAGGAGGATGTTATCTTTTAAATCTTCTCAAACATTTTCATTACTAAGGGCATACGTGCACTTGATCTCAATTCACTTAGTTGTTTGGAATGGTTTGATTTTGGGATTTATATTAAATTGGAGGTTTTTTCCTCCAGAATCTGTGCATATCTGGAAAATTGGATTGAACACACCACTCAGCTGTTCTGCACAGTACCTGAGAGTGCATCCACATTTATTTACATACAGTGGCACCCCACTGACCACCGTAAACTGTAGTAGCATCCGTTTGGCATTTCATCCTATTATGAACAGCCAGCGACGTAACATAAAAAAAAAAAATCACACAATAAACCAAGATATGAGTAGGTGTTTACTTAAGTTTTTATGATTTCTACAGGCAGGTTTACCACAGTAGTAGATTAAAACCTGGAAATTAAGACTTTTAGTTTCAATGTGCCAGCACCAAAAGTTTTAAAGTGGCTCCATCTGGCCACCCCATGAAACATTTCTAGAGGCACCACTGTGTACGTTTATCACTTTGAGAAGGTTAGTGACACTGTCCTCAGAAATCATTAAGTCATAATTTGATACAAGGGACTCCCTGGTTTTGGAAAATTATCTATAGAATAAAATCTGATCTTTCAAAATGTACAAAAAAATTATTAAAAGGCTCTGCTAAAAAAACTCGGTCAATAGAAAAAAAAATGTATATTTGTATTAATGTAACGTACATTTATGGCTGAAAAACATTTGGTATGTTATTTAGAAGTTCAATTCATTAATACTAGGATTTCTGGAGTACAAAATCAATTGAAGTAACAGGGATTTAACAGCTGCACAAAACTACAAAGAGCTATGAAAAAGTTGAATAAATAGAGAAATATTTATTCACTAAATACCTTCAACTTAAAATGATTTAAAATTTATATACAGATTTTTTCACTGGATTGTTTAATCTTTAATGTTATAAATTGTTAAATCATAACAGTTTCTTTCTTCATTTATCGGTTGTATTCATTTCCAAATGTATTTAATTATCAGATATCGAAAATAAAACAACCGATTTATTGTCTTGATGATATTTATTGTCCCTGCATGTTTTTGCAGAGAATTGATTAGAGTGAAATTTTGAGTTGGTTTTACTTTGGAAAGGAATTAAATACTTTTTTTATCAGGAATTTCTGTTCTTCAGAACATTTTTTCTTTATAATTTATTTTATACAATTTATTTTACTGTCACCGTTTATATGGGAAGTTGCTGTTTCACATGATCTTTTCTTAATGGGAGATGGAAATACAAAAATCTTTCCTAGAGGACAAACCCATCATAAATATAGTCCCATCATAATTAACAAAACACTTTTTTGTTGTTTTTTTTTAAATATAGTTTATTTTCTGCAAAAGAGAAGATATTAAGAACACTCATCTTAGACATACTTGAAGGACAGTGATTAGTTTGAAATCAAGCTGTATGAAAAATATCTACCGTACTCAGATAGAGTTAACAGTATTTTATCTGCTTTTGACGATATATTTTATAACAGGATTACTGAGCGTTTTTTTTTGTATGTGTGAAATAACTGATACCAAAATAAAAAAAATAAAGATCAATACATATTAAACCACAAGTTATGATTCTTCCCTTGTTGTCTCCTCTCACACCTGCTCCTCATCTGCTCGTTAGCCCTGCCTTTGTCTCAGTCAGCTAATCTCTCCCTCTGCTGTCACTCCTTGTTGGTTCCTTGTCTTTGCTGTCCTCCCATGCTGTTGTCCACCTATCTCGTCTCTCCCTGGCTCCTCGTGTTTGGTTTCCTAAGATGTCTGCATAGTTCTGGTTTGCTTTTCATTATTAGTTGGATTTTTTGGATTCCTGCCTTTGTTTATTGTTTTTGCCCCATTAAACTCCAAGAAATCTCCTCAGCCTCTCTGCCTCTGCATTTGGGTCCTCCAAACCACAACCAAACCTTGACAATTATATTTCCACTTTGTTATAGAGCAACAACCCTTTACCTTTGACCTCCTCTATGGAAATGGCTGGATTATCCTACCCTTCTGAAAGGTTGAACTAGTTGGGAAACAACCCTAATGCTTCTCTTGTTTTTCCACAGCTCTGTTCGAGGACATTGTCAAAGTTCAGCATCATTTTTACAGTGGACCAAATGAAGAGAATGCTGTTGGACAATGTGGGAAGAGTTCATAAACACTACAAGAGGCTATTGTTTCGCCTTAGATATTCTAATGGACCAGGAACACACTGACAGACAAAGTGGGAAACAGCACAGAGACCACAAAGCTGCTGATTTGTGCTTGAGGCTGCTGTGTGGTTGGCTCTGCATGTAATCCATTTTTACCTGTGGGACTAAAGGATTTACCAATAGCTCCATGTCCAAAAACATGCAGAACGAGTCCTAATGGGAATTTCATCTCTCCCACTTTGTGTTTTAAGCTGTTTAATATTTTCTTCTCATTATGGGCTGTTTTGTCAGTACACTTTTCGTGTTTTATGGTTTCCTGCCAAATCAATACTATCGGTGCTATTTCTTTGATCAACCAAAGCTGCTCTGAAAGCAACAGATTGGTTTCATCAGAGCGATATTTGCTTACTCATCAGTGAGGGGCATGGGTGGTTCAGATCCCCTGTAGAACTGGTCATACTCACTGATGTCACTTTGACCCATTTTTGTTTTTAATTATGATTTAAAAATCAAGGTACTGATTGTCGGATTGAGATAGGATCACAGTTTTTATATGCTGAATGTTATTTTGAACCATTTCTATATATTTTTTGAAATACTCAAATGTGTTAACGCTACATAGATAATACTCTCAATTACTTCAGTTATGCCTCTCTCTGTTTCTACTGGAGTAGAGCTTGCTGACTAGATGAAAATCATTTTCAGTCAAAATCCTCCAGAGAAATGACTGATTAGAAGTGTAACTGGAAATAGTGCAAATAATAAAAAGGGGTTTAACTGCTCCCAAACACAAATAATCCTCTCTCAATTTTAATGAATGAGTTCAAACCAATTGATATGGTCTTCCAAATCAGTATATTAGATTTCTATTTTTGTGATGTTTTTTTTTCATTTTGGTTGCGTTCTTATTTACAAGGGGTTTTTATTGTTTGTTTTTAAGCTAGATTTTGGGTACGACCACCATCATTCCTTAATGAATAAGAAGAATTTATAACCGGTCATTTAACATTAGTATCCCGACTAAACATTTGTGTCAATCT